CCCCCCCCATTTGAAAAGCAGGCTGCAGCCACTTGCACACTGGGATAGCTACCACAATGCACTGCTCTCCATGGCGTTGCAAGAGCTGCTAATGTGGCCACACCGGTGCGCTTGCAGCTGACGGTGTAAACACACTGCAGCGCTTTCCCTGCTGCTGTCTCCGGGGGCTGGTTTAACTCCCGGCGCACTACATCTGCAAGTGTAGCCATGCCCTAAGGGTGTCAGAGCTGGTGCAGCTTGCATGGTGCGGGGGCGGAAGGGAGAAGCGCTTCAAGGAAAGCAACTGACAGGAGGGTGTAAGAAGGTGTCTGTTAAAGCAGATCATCTGGCTCCTTGATACTCTCACATTGGCAAGCTGGTGTAAATAAGCCTAAAGGAGCCAAGCACCCTGGGTATCCCCTTTGAATTTGGCCCAGGGACAACTTTGAGTAGTGGCTGTAGAACTGGACCCTTCACTAAGTGCTGCAGATGTTGTTTCCAATTGTCTGGTATTGGCTGAGAGGACAACCTACATGTGTGGGCAAAAAGAGTAGAGAGTGAAAATGTGAGGCCTCTTTCTGTTTGTTACCCAATTCTGTGCCAGCATGTTCTGTACACTAACACCTGGCCAGCTCCAGCTGTGCCAGCCCACCGGTCTTTGAGTTCGGAGAGAGCAAAGACTGGTGTGAAGAGACTTCTCTAAACAACCAAACCTGTCCTTGTTAGAGCTCCATGACTCAAAGCCATCTTGTCTCAGTTCCTTCCAGGTAACTTCACCTCAGAGGGATTTTTTTTCTGAGGACCTTATAAGAGAGTCCAAATAAAGTTTAGACTGAAAACTGAGTCTGAACTCAGCAATCACCACTGATCAAAGTCCCAATACGCTGTCATTCTGCATGGCATTTTTTACACTAACTCTACCTCAAACTGTTTCATAGAGCTACAGTGACTAATGCAGTTAAATAATCAGAGCAAGATGAGGCAGAAAGCAAGAGACACCTTGTAGGCAATGAGGAAAGGCTATTTTCAGCTGAGATTTGAAATCGGAGGAATATAATTGAAATAAAAGGATATAGGGAGGCTGGTTCACATGGCAGGAGCTTCAGAGGAGAAGGCTCTTGCGCCAGCACTGCTGAGGGGTGTGGAGGTTCTTTGAGATGAGGGAAGAAAGAGGAAGAGGCATGAAGAATTCATGGACTTTAAGTACTCCTGGGGGAATTCTGCACCAAAAAATTAAAAATTCTGCGCACAATATTTTAAAATTCTGCATATTTTGTCAAAATAACATAATATAATCATGCCAGTTTCAATTATTTTGATCATTTATTTCAAAATATTGTCAGCAACTATGTCTAACAATACAGAGAACAAAAAAGATTCAGGAAATGTTTTTTGACAAATAGATTCCCTACTAGGCATATATATACAAAACTTTGAGTAATTCATTTAAATGACAATACAGAAATGTATTTCCCACACCCCTAAGAAGCAGTGCAAAGGCTTGGGGGAGTCAGGTAACAGAGGAGCGGAGGGACAAGGAAGTAATTGCTGGTAAGAAGGCTGGGTGTGAACTTGAAGGGATGTTGGGGGTGGGTGGAAGTCTGAAACAGGTTGTTTTTTTTGGACTGGGAGGAATTGTTAGGGCGCCTCCCCCATGCAGACCTTTGCTGACCCCTAGCCTCTTATTTAGTCAAGCACAGCTGCCCACATCCCCCCCAGCCCCATGTGTCCTTGCACCCCCATTCAGCCACCCCTCCTCCCTACATCCCCATGTGTCCCTGCATCCCCTCTCCCCCATGTGTCCCTGCGCCCACACTCTCATTCAGCCCCCCACCCCAGTCTGTCCCCCCCACTAGCCTTTCTGAACCCCAGTCTGTGACTCCCCAGCAGGTCCATCTGCCCCATGCTGTCCGTCTCCCCCCACTCCCATGCCTCCTGACCTGGCCCAATGGGCAGGGTGCTGTGAGGAAGTCAGCCTCTTTCTCTTCCTTATCCACAGCTGGAGCTGCGCCCACCCGGGAGCAGCTGCTTTCTGTTCAGCTGCCACAGTGACCCCTGATGAGCAAAAGACATAACTGCAGCATCTTTCTGGCAGAATGTATTTTCTGCAGGGGGAAAAAATTCTGTGCAGCACACGAATTCTGCGCATGTGCAGTGGCCCAGAATTCCCGCAGGAGTATTTACAGATGTTTAACAGAAGCTACTAAAGTTAGACATTTTTAAAATCAGAAGCTCCAGATAACTTCATCCAAGAGTTTTAAAAGGTCTGGCCGAGGAGCTTGCTGCACCATTAATGTTGATTTTCAACAAGTCTTGGAGCACTGGGGAAGTTCCAGAAGACTGGAAGAAAGATAATGTGCCAATTTTTAAAAAGGGTAAATGGGATGACCACAGGTAATTGTAGGCCGGTCAACCTGATATCGATCCTAGGCAAGATAATGGAGCAGCTGATACAGGATGCAAAGATTTACAATTACAGAGCAAACATTTTTACAGTTATAGAGCAAATACTTTAAAGGAGGGTAATGTGCATAATACAAATCAACACCACACAACATTTTGATTAAAAATTAGAATGAGATAAAATTAACATGGCGCATGTTAAATGGATTCAAAACTGTCTAACTGGTAGGTCTCAAAAAGTAACTAGAAACAGAGAATCGTCATCCAGTGAGTCTGTTTCCGGTGGGGTCCTACAGGGATTTGTTCTGGGCCGTATGGTATTTAACATTTTTATCAATTATCTGGAAGGAAACATAAAATCATCACTGATAAAGTGACTGGGGGGGCAGTAAATAATGTCGAAGACAGGTCACTGACTCAGAGTGAGCTAGATCACTTGCGCAAGCAAACAATGTACATTTTAATATGGCTCGATGTATACATCTGGGAACAAAGAATGCAGGCCATACTTACAGGATGGGGAACTTTCTCCTGGGAAGCAGTGACTCTGAAAAAAAAATTGGGGGATTGTGGTGTGTAATCTGCCGAGCATGAGCTCCCAATGTGATGCTGTGGCCAAAAGAGCAGAATGTGATCCTACAGTGCATAAACACGGGAATTTCAAGTAGGGAGTAGAGAGGTTATTTTACCTCTGTTTTGAGCACTGGTGTGACTGCTGCTAGAATACTGTGTCTAGTTCTGGTGCCCATAATTCAGGAAGGATGTTGATAAATTGGAGAGGGTTCCGAGAAGAGCCATGAGAATGATTAAAGGATTAGAAAACCTGCCTTAGACATGGTAGGCTCAAGGAACTCAATATATTGATCTTAACAAAGAGAAGGTTAGGGGTTGACTTCCTCACAGTCTATAAGTACCTACCTGGGGAACAAATATTTAATAATGGACTCTTCGGTCTAGCCGAGAAAGGTCTAACACAGTCTAATGGCTGGAAGTTGAAGCTAGACAAAGTCAGACTGGAAATAAGGTGTACATTTTTAACAGTGAGAGTAATTAAGCATTGAAACAATTTACCAAGGACCATGGTAGATCCTGCATCATTGACCATTTTTAAATCAAGATTGGATGTCTTTCTGAACGATCTGCTCTGGGAATTATTGTGGGGAAGTTCTATGGCCTGTGTTACATAGGTGGTCAGACTAGATGAGCACAAGTTCAATTCTGGCCTTGGAATCTGAGACAATGTTGTTCTTATTCCGGAGGTGGTGATAAGGCAGGCTAACCTGTGGGGGGAAGAGAGGAAAGCTCATCATGGGCTGTTAAGAAATGCTTTATGAAAATTACCATTTTTCTCCATAGCAAAATCATTAATAATACCTAGTTCTTATGTAGTGCTTTTCCTCATTAGATCTCAAAGCGCTTTATGAAGGAGGTCACTATCATTATCCCCATTTTACAAATGGGGAAACTGAGGCAGAGTGAGGTAATGCGCCTTGCCCAAGGCCAATGGCAGAGCCAGGACTAGAATCCAAGAAGCCTGAATCCCTGTCCAGTGATCTGTTCTCAGCTTGAAGGCTTGATTCTCGAACATACTGAGCGCCCTCCACTCCCCAGTAGACTCAGTGGAGTTGTGGGTGCTAAGCACCTCATAGGATTCTTCATAATGCAGGGAACAAGTAGCTTATTCCCGGCTTTACAGCGAAAAAGAGCCCCTACAGGTTCCTATGTCCAAAGTGTGGCAGACGGGGGTGTCCGTGTATAATTCCATGCCCATCAAGTGACGTTAAAAGACCAGGAAAGTTGCAAAGTTGAGCACTCACTTGTCAAGAAATGAGGACATTAATTCTGCTCTCTTGTGCGTATGCATCACTGTGGTACAGTCTTTAATTACAGGATCCTGTGCTGTTCTTTCCACAGGCTCCCTGCCTCATTCAGCGCACACATCGGGCAGGGAGTTCTCCAGCAAAGCACATGCTTAACTTTAAACACATGAGTGTTCCCACTGAGTGCCCCTGGTGAAAGTTAAGCACTTGCTTAAGTATTCTGCTGGATCAGGGCCTGAATGAAAGAAGCTTGCATAGGACATTCGTCTGGAGTTCAGTGCATCTTGCCTCTTTCTGTGTAAAAGTAGTATGTAATATATTATCAATTGTATAATGAATGCAGACGCGATTCTGATCACTGGATCGGTTTGAAACAATAAGGTGTTTCTGTCTTTTCCCACAGCCCGCCCTTTACCCAAACCCCTGTTCCCAGAAGGAAGAGCCAACCCAAAGACAGTCTTGATTGCCTGGGTAAGGATATGTGGGATTTAGTGTCAAAGTAACAGCACAGCCATGCTGCAGTAAGGTGGGCTTCCAAAACAGCTGTGTGTGAATCAGACGACAGAACGGAATACTACTGGGTTAAATCATTCAAAACAAACAAACCAGCTTCACTGCTCATGTTAAAAGTAGCCACTGCAATTCTCAAACCTAGACACATTTTAAAATCTAAGGACCCAGTGCTGCAAACAGATACTGCCAAGCTTAACGATCACTGTAAGCCTTTTGAAGCGAACAGGACTATTGAGGATCCTAAATGCTATGGGGCCTGATTCCACTCCTCTTGGGCCTGATTCTGAGTCAGTTTCGTCCTCCTCCCACCCCCAGTCTAAATCAGGAGTAACTCCACTGCAGTTAATGGAGATACACCAATGTAAAGCTGATCTGAGATCCGAATCAGGCCCTATGCTAGTAGTAAGTGCTTGCAGGATTGGGTCCTCCTTGTTCTATTTGTTTACTTCTTGCCTTTCTCTCATTTGGGAAGAAGAAAATAAGCTATTCAGTTTCATCTTTGTTTCTAGTCAGATTCTAATCAGTCTCACTTTCAGATTCTTATGTCCTGTGTTGCTATTGGATTGCAAAATACTGCAGAGGGGGAAAAAATTCTCCATATGCATTAATAAGAGGTACAATCAGTAACATTGGCAATGCCATTACGGAAAGGTGTATTGGTAACTTGTAAGGATCTTAGCTTAATGCTCAACTGAGCATAAATGTCCAGGTGGTTAAGTCATGGAAACTTCATAGTACTGTAATGACTTTTGCTACTAAAAATGGACACATGGCTATCTGCCGATGGCTGATAACACATTTTTGGCTTGAGGCAGCACTTAGAGATCGAACCAGGGAACTTGAGCTTTAAGTCAATACTTGCAGAGAAGTTTTAATATGTCCCTGGTGGCAATGGATTCATTTCACTTGAAAACACAAGTCCGCATCACCGCTCACGCATGGCTTGTCGTTAACCTCTTGACCTGGCATTGTTGCTTTTCTTGCTGCCCATACTTCAGCCATTGTGTGCTCTGCCCTAGCGCTAGAGTAATGGTAAAATCATGTTGAAGTCAGGCCGATGCCAGGAATGGCCTCCAAGGAGCAGCTCCTGGCTCGGAGCTAAGACAAACAATCCTTCAGAATAAGCGGTTTAGTCAGGATTTGATAGGGGAAAAACAGGAGGTGAAGATGAGGGGGAGGGAATTGAAGATATTTTAATCTAATGTTGTTCTATGCTACCAGTGATGGCATCCTGTACTTCTCATTATTAATGTTTCTATCCCTATCCATCCATCCATCCCTTTCTCTCTCATGTAATCTCCTTTTAACTCAAATTTTAGCACTTTTACCCTATGTAATCTCTTGTATCTAACCTAATTTTCTCTCTCTAGTGTTATTCTGATTATCTAAAACCTCATGCTCCAGGAATTAAACTAGTCTCAAACATTTACGGCTCAGCATGACCCCTTAATGAGGGGCAGATTATTTTACATCTGCCTGCTCTGGGTTCTTGCACTTTCCTCTGAAGCATCTGGGACTGGCCACGGTCAGCGATGGGATACTGGTCTAGATACACCTTGGGTCTGATCCAGTATGGAAGTTCATTCGTTTCCTAAGCGAGAGATTTATAACCCTGAATAGAACAAGCATAGTTCTGTGTAAATTCCCTGCTCTCTAACTAACGAGGTGGAGAAACTGGCTGTGGCGTGGATTAGGACAGTGGCAAAGGGGTTAGGAAAGACTGGGAAAATGTGTGGGGTCGAGCAGGGAGAAAAGGGCATGGAGGCAACGAGGGACAATGGAAGGAGGAGGAAAGTAGAGAGATGAGAAAAGAAAACAAGCGACATAGACGTAAGAAAATGTACCCCATTGCAGAACAATGGCTCTTCTCAGTCACATACAAGAAGTTATGGCTCCAAGAAAGCCAGGTCTAGCTTAGAAAGAGGCAGGAGCAATTGTGATGGGGCTAAACCATCTGAAGAAATAAAAATAAACTGGGCTGCTGAGCCTTTCTTTAAATATTGTGGACCAGAGCCTGCTCCTATTGAAGTCAGCGGCAAAGCTTGTCTTGGCTTCCTGGGGCCAAGATTGGTCCCCTTTGACCCCAGCCTTCTGTCCGCGATGGGCAGATTTCAGAAATGAGCCATGGAGCATGTCCCATCTTGGGAATGAACAGTCTTCTGCCTGGTCTCTCCATTGCATTTTCAAGTGAAAAACAGAACTTCCAATGAGAAATGCTTCAGGAGTTCCTCACGGAGTTGATCTAACGGAGACTTTTCTCTTTCTCTCCTGTCAGATTTCGATATCCCGTTTTGTGAGCGATTTGGGAAAGGTGGGACCTTCCCCAGACAATATCACCTTTCCCAGAGCCGCAAGGACTATAGCGACGGTGAGACACTGATCGGTCCATGCGGGCTTGGGGGAAAAGCTCACTGATGGCCTAAGCCAAGGAATAGGGCATTGGCCTGGACAGGAGCAACTTGGCTTCAGTTCTTGGCTCTGCCACAGGCTTCCTGTGTGACCGCGGGCAAGTCACTTGAACTGCTCTGGGCCCATGTGGGCACTGCTGGCACACATTGTAAGTTCCCTAGTGTGTGTTAATGCAGTTACTGTTTGAAATGGGACTATGTTAACACAAACTAGGGAACTTTTAGTGCACGCTAGCAGGGTCCACATGGGCCACTTAGTGTGCAACGCGCTAGTGTGCGTTAGAATTTGTACCTTCTGGCGTGGACTAAAGCACTGTGCAGACATGCCCTAACTCCCGTTCTCTCAGATGACCCTTTCCATAGGCGCCGACTCCCCCTGTACCCAGGGGGTGCTCGATCCCGCCCCCACTCCACCCCTTCCCCCAAACCCCTGCCCCGCCCCTGCTCTGCCCCCGCCCCGCCTCTTCCCGTCCCCTCCCCTGAGCGCGCCCCGTCCCTGCTCCTTCCCCCCCTCCCTCCTGGAGCCGACCTGCATGCCGTGAAACAGCTGTTAGTGACGTGCAAGGGGAGGCGCTGGGTGGGGAGGGAAGGAGGGGGCCTTGGCTATTGGTGGGTGCTAAGCACTTGCTAATTTTTCTCTGTGGGTGCTCCAGCCCTGCCTCAAAGAACTTTGAGTGTACGCTGGGAATTAGACTCCAAGTTGCGCTGTGATTTTTTTTTTTTTAAACCTGTATAGCTGGTGAAACCACTGTGTGGACACACTTAATTTGATTTAAATCTGGCTTATGTTGATTTATTTTAAATTGATTCCTTGACGAGTTTGGCGAAGGTTTTAATCAACTTAAAACTGCCCACGCAGGGTTGTGCATCATTTAGCTAAGAACTTGTCTACACTGTGCTGCAGCATGGCCTACGGGGATGCGAATCGCAGAGTGCAGTGAACGGCTGGGCTCTCGCTGCCCTGTGTGGACACTGCAGCAGTGTCTCAATGGGGCAGATAGAGCACAATGCTGCAATTTACACCTCCATAGCAAAGCAATTGAAACAGGTGCCACTTTGAATCCAGGCAGGGTCTGAGTGTATGACGAGAGACAAGACGTTGCATGTCCTTGTCAGTAATTCTCCTGCTTTCCTCACCAAGGCCGAAGGACTTTCCCAAGGAGTTACGTCCCTCAGGAGAATCGGTTTCAGCTTGTCCCTTCCAGCAGAACAAAGAGCTTCAACGGGGACAGCAAGCTCCTCACCTTACAGTACGAGGCGCACAGGACCAAATGGTGGATCGACTGTGACAAGGGACTGCAGGTTTTCAGCACGTCCCCCAGCAAGTCCAGGAACTGTGAGTGAATTTCAACAGGTTGCCGTTTAGAATCTCAGGCTGTGATCTTGTCTTCTAAGTATGGTCAGGCGGAGCTGGTGGAGGGGAAACCTCCAAGGAGAACTCAGGAGCTGGGGTGGATCAGCAGATAGCACTTCCCTCTCAGTCCTGAGTCAGTACAGAACCAATGCCCCAGCATGATGTTAAGGGGCGCTGTGCTCCCGGGAGACGGCTCCAAGAGAAAGCCCTGACTGCTCATGGTCATTTAAGATCTCCTGGCACTTTCCATAAAGATAGGGGTGTTCTGGCCAAATTCCATCCTGGGCAATTACATTCCACCTGCAGCTACAGTGGGATAAATGATTCTCCACTTCCTGCTCTGAATGGCCGCATAGCAGTGCTGTGCCCTGTTAACCATCGCTTGTGTTCCACTCCAGCAGTGGCTGCACGTCACTGAGGGGTAGGGAAGGGACTCCAACATTACACAGCAGATTATTCTCAGCCCTTGCAGGAGGGAAGGCACTGTATCAATGTACATCCTTGGGCCTAATCCTGCTCTCACTTACACTGGTGTAAATCGGGTAAGCCAGTGGAGTGAAAGCAGCCTGAATGGGATGGGAATCAGGCTCTAAGTGTCGCTCTTTGTGGTAGGTGCTAATGCACTCTGTGTGCCCCCACCCATTGCATAGCAGATTTAGATCTGCATTGCAAAGGGTCCGGTGACCCCTATGCTGTGTCCTGACTGTGCCATTGATGTCCCTTCTACAGCCCTGCAGGCGCCAGTGAACTGGAGGTTGGGGAAGCTCCTTGGCAGAGGGGCCTTCGGAGAGGTTTATCTCTGCTACGACGCAGACACTGGCAGGGAGCTGTCAGTGAAGCAGGTGCCCTTTGACCCAGACAGTCAAGAGACCAGCAAGGTGAGTGTGAGGGCTGGACTGAGCCTTCCTGAAGAGCAACTGGGTGCGAGTGGGTCACAAACATCCTGCCCTTCCCATATTGCTGAGTGGGATGGAGGTCCTGAGATGGGGTCTGCTGGCATCTGTTGTCCCCCATGTCACCACTAGGCGATGCATGCATGCCGTGCATAGGTCCTGTATGTGCTGTGCTGGCCCTCCCAGCTCAGAGCTGTTTGTGATTTCCCACAGAGCCCATGGACACCTGCCATGGCCTAAATCATCCAGTGACCACTCATCTTCCCTTCCAGGACCTGCATGATGTTAGCCCAGCCTGCGTTGCCAGTCTCATCTCTTGCCATCTCCTGTCCTTTCTGCTCTTCTGTGATGCCAGCCCCAGGGCTCCATTCACCACCCTCCACTCCCATCTCTGGATAGCCCATTTGCCCAACCTCTGCTTTTCCCTCATGCTCGCCCCCCCTGGAAGCTTGGTGTTGCCCTTCAGAAACAAGGGAATAAGTAAATATCTGCCTGCCTGCCTGCATCTCTCTCTAACAATTCCAAGCAGAGTCCCTTCTCTGCCTTTCCCAGTGCATCCTGTCTGTCTTTTAGGCTATAACCTCCTTGGGAGAGCAGCCATCTGTCTTCTTGGGTCTTGTACAACGCTAGGGATATAATCAGTGCTTCAGAAACCCTCTAGGAGAATAAGCTTGAATGTGGCAGTATTTCTGCAGTGATGTGATGTTCGTAGGTCTGTCTTTTCATCGTGTAACGTTCTGTATCGTTGCAGGAGGTAAATGCCTTAGAATGTGAGATCCAGCTGTTGAAGACCCTTCGCCATGACAGGATAGTCCAGTATTATGGTTGCTTGCGGGACCCGGAAGAGAGGAAGTTGTCTATCTTTGTGGAATACATGCCAGGGGTAAGTGTGACAGCAGCCAACCCATGTGGTTATTTATAGAGATGGACCTGAACCAGAGAGCTGAATCCAAACGCCTCCCAGCTCAGGCAAAGTTTGGATTTGGAGTCAAATTTCGCAGCCTGGCCCTTGTCTACAATGGGCCAAATCAAAATCCTGATTTGAACTTTGCGGAAGGGCCCTATCTGTGTGACACAGCCTGGAATATGAACACGGCCGAATTTGGGATTGGATCCAGATCTGGATCTAATCTCTGTGGCTTGGGCCCATCCCTAGTTATTTATTACAAAGCACTCTGGGAAAGGTTAATTGTAGTACGATCCGCACACAGCTATCACGAGTTATTTATTTATTCTGATATGTGCACGTTGAAAACGCAACGTTACTAATTATCCTGTCCTTGGAGACCAAGTCATCTCGTGGCGATGCTGTTTTCTCATGTCAGGACGTCACCAGGTCATGACTCTGTTCGTGTAGAATGAAATATCTCCAGGGGCAATGCAAAATCAAGAAGTTTTAATGTGCTGCTAGGTGGCGCAGGGGATGTAACTTGCATCTTTTCTTACTACTTTAGCACATAAGTTAAACCAGCAACGTAAGTTAAACCTGGAGCAGAGCTTCAGCTAGTGTAAACAGAGCAGCGCTGATTTACACTGGCTGAGGATCCGGCCCCCTCAGCCCCACCTGTGTTACTTACACCTTCTTACACATCATCTCTGGATTTGTCCTCTAGACTGTGAGGGAGCAAACCTATGGTTTATTCATAGATTTTTAAGGCCAGAGGGGACCATTCGATTATATAGTCACAAATAGCTTTGCTATTTGGCAAACATGGTAGAAAATCCCCCACCAGATCCACATGAACGACAATTTGAACTAGCCCCCTAGCACGACCCCCCTCTCTCTAACCACAGCCCCGTGAACCCATTTGTTTCTGGAGGCTCTTTCTGATCCCTCAGGCGTGGGACCAAAAGGATAAGCCCAGTGCAGTGTAATCAGTCCCCTCGCTGTTCGTTCTACAACATGCCCATGTCTGTTACCTGCCAGGAAGCCAGCGTTTGTGCCGGGGCTGTTTCCTGTTCCTGGATCGGAATGTTTGTTTTCCTTCCGATAAACGAGCACTCTGGCCAGATAAAGATTGACTTTCACTCCGCGGCAACAGCTTATTTCACAACATCAGCCCAGGGCTCTGCGTTTTTTGTACTGTTGGTGGAAGAGGCCCAACTCCCAAGCTCTGACATGCTGCATCTGGCTGAGATTCTGATTTAATGCAGCTGGCTTGGCAAGGGCTGCCTGGGGTCTAGCTGCTTGTGCGGGACCTTCCGCACCCTGCCTGGCTCTAGCCAGTGTCGATAGCCTGTCCGTTTGTAATTCACCCATTTAAACCATTGTTGGCGTGTCTTCCGCACACACACAACTCGCATCCTCCTTTAAATTAACTGAGGGCGAAAGGGGCTGGTCTATTTGATTCTAGTACAAGATGAGATCCTTAAAAGGGCCCTGCCTCAGTGCATCCTTCATGTCCAGCGCCCACCCCACAGACTGAGATCCAGAGAAGTGGAGGGCTCAAATGCCTAACCAAAGATTTTCCATCAGAGGACATTGACAGAACCCCAGATGATACCCAGCTGTAGGGCGGGAGGGCCCCTGATAGGTTCCTCCCACTGGCACTTCATGGCCACCCCCTTTAAAATGGGAAGGAGCAAAATAGGAACCCAGGGCTGAGCAAAAGTTCAGGCTGCAGGGCGGTGAGGTCAGGGACAATAAGCATGTCAGTGGGAGACCTAGCAGAGAACCCAGACAACCCCTGCTGCTCCCTGGTGGATGAAAGGTGCCAGACTGACAGCCCTGGAGACTGTCTATCCATAGAATGGGCCAGGACGAGCTTCGCTCAGACAGGGTGGAATCCTTCCTCAGCATTTGGAGTCCTGTAGCTAGGTAGCTCCTTTAGTGTAAATCTTCTCTATGGAACAACCGCTCTGGCTGGCTTACCTGAAGATTGAGCCAGGGAGCTGTAGACCTAAAAGCCTCAGTGCCTGTTGCTTGAGCTAAAGCACCTACTTCATTACCTTCAGCAGTAAAAACTCATGCTTTGAGATCCAGCGTTCCTAGACTCAGTCCTGGCAGCGATCCAACCAGGGATGTTGTTGCATCTGGTTGTCCATATAGGCCTGTGGATGTCAGTAGCTCCAGCTGAGCTTCCCCAGCCCGGGGAAATGTGATGCTAAGAGAAGGTGTCTCTTTGTCCCACTTCAGCGTCTAGGCAATGTGTAGAAGTCTCGGAGTCAGCTCCAAACTAATGGACGTGTTCCTTTCGCTCAAGCGGTGGAGAGGATCATGCTTATATAGACGAATTTCCCACAAACAAGCTGACCAATGATGTGATCCAGCCACAAGAGGGAGATAGAGAACTATGCTGAGTTAGCAAGGGTTGTATGTACAATACTGCCCTTCCTCATCTGTCCCATGGGGATATTGGAATTCAGGCATGATCCTTGCTCCATTATGTTTATCAGTGTCTCTGATTTCATATATTCCTCTTTTATATCTCAGTTAGATTCAGTAAAGCTTTTTATAAACCAGAAAATAAACCAGAAAACCTTGAACTCTTTACGCTAAACGGTCTGTTCCACCTTGTATTTAGCTGCCACTCTGAGTACATTTCCCAGACATCAAGAAGAAGAGCTCTGTGTAGCCCAAAAGCTTGTCTCTCTCACCAGCAGAAGTTGGTCCGATACAAGATATTACCTCACCCACCTTGTCTCTCAGAAAACGGTCGCAGAAATATAAAAGCCAACATGACACAATGTGCATCATTCACTCCTGTGGTTTGTGTATATGCCAATAGGGTTCCATAAAGGACCAATTGAAAGCATATGGTGCTCTGACCGAGAACGTCACCCGGAAGTACACCAGGCAGATTCTGCAGGGAGTCTTCTACTTACACAGCAATATGATTGTCCACAGGGATATTAAAGGTAAGTAGAATGCACTGTGAGATCACCTTCCTGCTCTGATCTAGCAGCACCTTAAGTAGGATTCTGTGCCTTATGGTCAGAGTGCAGCTCTGGAGGCCAAGACACATGGTTTCTAGCCCTGGCTCTGCCTTGGGTCTGCAGTATGGTCTTGAACAAGTTGCTTAGGCCAGAATTTTCAAAAGTGACCTCTCACTTGGGAGGGGTGTGTGTGCCCCAGATAACGAGTGTCCAATCGGGAATACTCGTTTTGAGAGCCCCCATTGGCTCCTTTTGCAGTTGAGAGCTCAGCTCCAGGCCTGAGATAATGGACATTCGTGCTGAGTTGCCGTAAATCAGAAGCCACTTTTGGAAGATATTGGCCGTACCTTTTCTGTGACTTAGTTTATCTTCCTGTTTAATTGAGGATTGGTAATTATTTACGGTCTCCCAGGGGTGCTTCGGAGTTGATGCAAGGTGTGTAAAGCGCTTTGGGTGGGATTTTCAGGGAACTAAGAGACAGGCCTCTTTGAAAATTCCAGTTAAAAAAAGGGGAAAAAAGGGTCCCTAGCATACTGCCTTCATGTAGCTAAATGTCGTCTTTTCCAACTCTGAAGATGCTGGCCCTTTGCCTGAGCCTTCCCTTGCTGGAGCTGCGTTGGCCCTGGTTGCAATTTTATCTCTTGGGTTTTTGTGCTTGACCCTTAGGTGCCAACATTTTGCGAGATTCTGCTGGAAATGTGAAACTAGGAGATTTTGGTGCCAGCAAACGCATCCAGACCATTTGCATGTCTGGAACGGGAATTAAATCGGTCACCGGAACGCCGTACTGGATGAGCCCAGAGGTGATCAGTGGAGAAGGCTATGGAAGGAAAGCTGACGTGTGGTAAGAAACAAAGTAATCCCAGGGCAAAATCTCCACTGCAGTGGGTCAGCATTGCAATTTTCTAATGTAGCCTGTATCCGTTCATCGCTTCGAGAATTACAGCGGTTAATTTTCCAAGGCCAACCAGTATGACTAGCATTTGCAAGACAGTGTGGGTTAGTGGCTGGAACAGTGTGCTTATAGTTAGAACTGACTACCAAGATTTTCAGTAGTGATTAGTGATTTTTTTGGATGCTCAACTTGAGACACCTTAAAAAGGGTCTGATTTCCAGAGGGTGGGTGCTGAGCACCTACTGAAAGTCAGGCTCCTTTATGGTGTTTCAGGCTGAACACCCAAAAATGGAAGCACCCCAAATCCCTACTTGCTTGTGGAAATTTCCAACGTGGATGCTGATTTTGGGTGCCCCAATTTTTTGGACGTCCAGTTGGAGATTCCTTGAATCTGCCTTTAAGTAACCCTGAGCACCCTCCCCTCCCTGGGAACTGCAGGAGCTCTGAAAAACTGGCTGTCGAGGTTTGCCGCTGGGATCTCAAAACGGGAGGCATCCAAAATTGGTGGCGACTCTTGAACATTTTGGATACTTGAGCTTTGCCGGATTGGGCCCCGAGGCTGAACAGCTGGAATAATAGTCATCACCCGAATGAACTACAACAATACTGTATGCACAGCACATATTCCCTTGACTCTTCCAACAGCCAGGCTCAGTGGAAACCAGCCATTGTATCTGCTTCGCACTGGGGAGAATGCCTGAGGAGTCGTTGGCAGACAGCCTTGCTGCCACCTGTTCCAGCTGATAGGCGGGAAGCGCAGCTACGTTTTATTCATTCTGATTATGAGCCAAGGTTGCCAAGCTGGCGTAAATGAGGCCGGCGGAAACGCCGCGCTGCTAGGATTCCACCCCAAGGGCTGGGAAGCCACCCTGCTTTTTCCTGCCTCTGCCCTTTTATTTTATTCAGGCTGCTTCTTCTGGACTCCTCCTTCCCAGAAGCAAATGGGAGATGAAGCCAGACAGGGAGCGAAGCCTTGTTTGGCTGCAGATGTCTTCGGTAGTAAACATAATGTTCAAGGTAGATAGGCTGCTGCCAACGAATATGGGTACAAAATATTCCCAGCGAGTTGGCTCCCTCTTTGGGGATGTCTGCACTGCTATTAAAAACCCGCAGCTGGCCTGTGCCAACTGGCTTGGGCTAACGGGCTGTTTAATTGCGGTGTGAATGTGCGGGCTCAGGGTTGCAGCCTGAGCTCTGCTACAGTGCAGGGTCTAGAGATCAGGTTGCTAGGTGGGAGGGTCCCAGAGCTTGGGCTGCAGCCCGAGCCCAAACATGTACACCGCAATTAAACAGCCCCTTAGCCGAGCCCGAGACGGCTGGCACAGGCCAGCTGTAAGTGTCTAATTGCAGTGTAGACATACCCTTTCAGGCCTGAATGCTTCCCTTTAAGGGGGAAAATTCACCCCTGTGAAGAGGACCAGCACAAACCTATGTACCAGTTCAGCAAGGCCCTGGGGAACCCCCTGGCAAATGGGACCTTAATTCTGCAGCAAGAAAGGATGGCCCAGTGGTTAGGGTTCTAACCTGGGATTGGAGATGGCTGGGTTCAAGTCTCTGCTCTGCCACAGAGTCTTTGTTTGACCTTGGGCGAGACCCGTAAGGCCTGGTTTTCAACGGTATTTAGGTATCTAAAGCTGCAGGTAGGTGCTTAGCATGGCTTTCAAAGGTGCCTAACTCTCATTTAACCCATTTAGGCGCTTTTGAAAATCCCACTGGGCACCTCTCTGCACGTCCATACATTAGAAAAATCTCACCCTTAGTCTGTCTGGCTCTGACTTTTAAAGGTATTCAGGCATTGCTCCCTCTCAGTGTTGACTTTCAATGAGGCTCAGGCTCCTAAGTCATTTTTGAAAATGGGCCCTAGGCGATGTCTACACTAGAGAGTTTACAGCGGCACAGCTGTACCAATGCAGCTGTAAGATGGCTCGTGTAGCCGCTCTATGCCAACAGGAGAGAGCTCTCCCATCGGCACAATGTGCTGGCCCTTTGCACTGGGATGAATTTCACCTAAATAGAGGACTTCCATTTCCAAAGCGATCTGTCTGTGATATCTTTATAGCCCTAAATTTAGGGAATTTCACATCTAGGGAATAGTTTTGGGTGATAGGTTTAGGGGCAGGGAATGAGCCAGGACAATGGCTGGATGAAAGTCTTTTTTTCTAATCCTCTTGGTCTTTCCTTTTTTCTAATCCTCTGTTCTCCATTGCAGGAGCGTGGGCTGCACTGTGGTGGAGATGTTAACAGAAAAGCCACCCTGGGCAGAATTTGAAGCCATGGCGGCCATTTTCAAAATCGCCACCCAGCCGACCAAGCCCCAGCTCCCAGATGGTGTCTCGGACTCCTGCCGCAATTTCCTCAAGCAGATCTTTGTGGAGGAGAAGCGGAGGCCCACAGCAGAGGACCTACTGAGACATTCATTCATGAACTGCAGCCTCTAGTCCCTTGCAGCGGGTTAGGGGAAATGCAGGTGGAAGATAAAAGGAAATGGGGGGTGGGGGGTTTAAAAAACAGACCCACAGACCTTTGCACTCTGAAATGCAGACCTCAGCCTGGGTTGGGATCCTTCACTCCTCATTGCAAGCTAGGGGGCCAGTGTCGGTTTTCCTTTGTAAGCTGCACTTATGACCATCTAACTGTGGAGACGGGTGGCTGTCGCCACGTTTGGGGCTGGAGGGAGTTCGGAATTGGGGATCATCCTTGGAACACATCGGCATCGATGCTAGTGGCAAACTCGCCCGCCCCGTTATTGAGTGGATGTCTGGTAGCGGAGGAGCTGGGAATAGTAACTCACTCGCCTCAGAGGAATGATGTGAACGAACTCTGGTGCTCCCTGCTGGCCGTGAAAGCAGCACTGGCAACATCCCACAAGGAAGCTGTCTCTTCAGCAGAGGAGCAGCAGTGTCTCCGTTTACAGCTTCACAGACACCGAGAGGGATTCAGGCGTGAAGCAAAGGGAAACAAACCCAGGACCAAAGAATGATCGGCATAGGTGTGTCGTTCATGTCAAAGGGGGAAAGCAATCCTGTTGTGGGGGTGGAGATGAGAGGCAAAGTCCATAGCAACATCTCCAGCTCTTCAGAGGGGAGGATTCAGATTTTGTGCCTTAGGTGGTTACAGTCGAGTGTGAGCCTCATTCAGCACAAGGTATCCAGTCAAGGACGTGACTACAATGCAGCCATGCTGAGTTGGTGTTCTTGTACCTGTAAAATAGTGTAAGTGCAAGGCATTCTTCTTCTCTGGATACAATAAGGTCCCTGTAGGTTATTCACCGCTGAAGCTGGCCACAGGACCTCTGTGTGTTTATTCATTGTTCAGCGGATAAGTGTGTCTATATGATGCTGATGTCAATGGCACCCTCAGCATAGCAAAAGCTCGTTCTTCAGCACCTGATCCTGTTCCCACTGAAACAGTCGCTGCTTGCCCAACCCCTGCCTCCTCCCCCAACTGATCAAGTTGACAAGAGCAAACAGGACAAATGCCCATTTTTGTCAGTCAGGATGGCAGGGACAGGGCTTAAAAAGGGGTCTGTCCTGGCCAAAACAGGACATACGGTCACGCTATCACTCCTTGCCCCATAAGGGAAGTGAGCTGTGCCAGCCCTTCTCCTGGCACAGTTGCCTTCCCCCTCCATGTTGGCTCAGCAGTGTTTAGGGAGTGGAGCCCAGTCTCTGCCCACCTGTGTGGGAGGGGGAGGAGCAGCCCCTCAGCAACACCCCCCCCCCCGCATCCACTGATTTTATGGGAACAGAACAGGTGAGGGTGTAAGTAACTGTTTTCTCATATCCCTAGCTGTGCCAACCTGTGACCAGTTCCAATGTGCTGCTAACGAAGGGTCCAGCCTGCAGAGCGCCGAGTGCCTTCAGCTCTGTCCCTTGTAGGATCAGGCCCTAGAGCATCAAGTGTAGAAAAGCTGTGCGGGAGGTGGAATTCACCCCAGCGCACAGGACTAGCACGAGGGCTGAGTGCCTCAAGGCCTCAAAAGGGAACATTTGTGGGACTTCAGTGATAAATAGACTCTGTGCAGGTGCTGTGTGCGGGGGCATATTTCATCCTGAGGCCAGGTCTAGACTACAGACCTATACTGCTATAACTACATCGCACAGGGGTGTGAAAAGTCCATACCCCTGAGCGATGTAGGTATACCGACCTACCCCACCCCCATGTACACAGCGGTAGGTTGATGGGAGAGCTTCTCCCACTAACATAGCTACAAGGTGGATTAACTACGCCAATGGGAGAAGCTCTCCAGTAGTGTCTTCACTAAAGCGCTACAGTGGTGCAGCTGCTTTGGGTTTTATAGAAATGTAATGGGGATCCGTACGAAGGACTCTGAATGCTCCTAGAGCCTGATTCTTATCAGGAACAAACTCCAGAGAAGTCAATGAAGTTACACCGGAGTGACACCGGTGTGAGAGCAGAATCCTGCCCATAGAACTGAACAGAGAATATCATTCTGGAGGCTTCTGCAGGAGGAATATAGGCCCTGATTCTACACCACAGAAATCAAGGAGAGTTGTGCTGTTAACTTTAATGGGCATGGGATCAAGCCCATAGTTCTCTATTAAATTCTATCAGATGGCTCAAAAAGCCTTTATTATTATTATTATTATTATTATTTATTTATATTCCCATACCACTAAGGAGCTCCAGTCATGGGTCAGGGTCCCATTTGCTAGGCGCTTTTATTACTCTGTTATAGTCAGTAGGACTTTCCATAAAGAAAGGGTTTAAAGGATTATTAGGAAAATGTAAAAATGTTTTAAATTATTTTGAATCTGACAATTTCCCCATTCGCTGGCCCGATTTTAAAAAACAAACTGTCCTCAGTCCCTTTTTTAATTAATTGAGAACAAAATCTGACTCCCAGCCAATCCATCTGGATTTGATTCTCGGTCTCTCAAAGGGCCAGTGGGGTAATGTTGACCATAGGCGCTGAGCTATGAGCAATATGATGCCGTGCATGGGTAGGGCTGAATGTGACCTACTTTTAAAGATCTGTTTGCAAGGTTCATGGAACTCCTTCTAGATGCTGTTTCTAAACAAATTCCTCCAGGCTTCCTTTCTACCTGCAAGTCTATTCCAGGACCCAGCGCTTTGACTGGCACTTTGCTTCTGGAGTAACTCAGACATGTGTTGCCCCATATGGCAGGTTGCAGAGTCACAAATTGGTCCCGCCTTACGGTGACCATATTTCTCAAAGGGAAAACGAGACATTGCGTGGGGCTAGACCCGACCCCCCTCCTCCCCCCCGCAAAAAAAAAACCCTCCCCCGTGTGAGGCTAAGGCTGGCGTCACTGCTCGTCCAAGCCCTTCCCCCTCCCAACTCAAGTTGATGAGCAAATGGGACAAATGCCCATTTTTGTCAGTCAGGGTGGCTGCGACAGGGCTTTAAAAAGGGTCGGTCCCAGCCAAAACAGGATATATTCTCACCCTATCACTCCTTGCCCTATAAGGGAAGTGAGCTGTGCCAGCCCTTTTCCTGGCACAGTTGCCTTCCCCCTCCATGTTGGCTCAGTAGTGTTTCAGGGAGTGGAGTCAAGTCTCTGCCCACCTGTGTGGGAAGGGGAGGAGCAGCCCCTCAGCAACTCCTCTGCGGGGATGGAAGGAGGCATCTGACACACATGTATGTACCTGCATGGATCAGCTCGACCGAGCCCTATGAGAACGAACCTGGGTGCACATCCAAGAAGGGGATGACAGACCCTCGTTCCACTGCAGGCTGCTGAGAGGCTGCTTAGAAATAGTGAGGGCGAAGGGAGAGCTTTTAAAACATTAAGAAGAACTACCCTGACAGTAGCCAAATTGTGCAGGTTCACCCTGCTTCTACTGAGAGAGATCCCTAGGCTTGGAGGGCAGTTTTCTCTCCCGCCCTCCTTAAATGATTTTGTGTGGGCGAAACATCCTACTGTGATGCCACAGGGCAACCTGGTCATGCCTCTTTGTTTGATGTTTGCAGTCACCAGGCTGTGTCATGAGGTGGTGATGTCCTGCAGCGCAAAAGCTTAGCTAGCGTCCTGGGGCTGGCAGGGGTTCAGATGTAGGAATGCCAGTGGGCTCAATCCTACAGGCCTTGTGCAAACAGAAACTGCCAGTAACTTTCCTAGGAGCGATGTATCAAGGGCCTGATCCTGGATCTCTTATGCAGTGTTACCCTTAGGTTTAGTTCTGCAAGTGGAGAAGTTATCTAACTCTAAATGCAGCTATGGCATGTAAGGCAACACCCACAAGGGGCGAACTCCGCCCCCTGTACAGAGGGAGAGCACAAAGCTCTCTCACCACCTCACTCCATGAAGGGCTTATGTGGTGCATGGCCCTGCACAGGAGTGAATTTCATCAGAGTGCCCCTCCTGAAGCATGCACAGCCCTGGTCATTGGGACCTTCCTCTACCTTCCCTTGTCTGTGTCTGTCTGGTAAATCACTCCTCAGGTGCCTTTGCCCTTATTTTAAATGCCCTTGCAGTGTTTTGCTGTATAAAATAGAATGAGGGAAAGAGAATGTAATATGATTCCATGTATATTTTTTTACATGTAAGGTATTGGAAAGTACATTCACCTAATGTATAGTAGAAGCAGTTTGCTCATATCAAATCTTGCTTTTTTTTTTTTTTGGAATATTATCAATACTGTATCATGTATATGTATTGTAATTTTTTTCCTTATCTAGGGAAAAGGCTCAAGTGTGATATTGTATATCATCAGACTTTATACTGTAGCCTATAAATCTGTATAATTCCTTCACACCAGGCCAAATATCATTAGCCAGCAAGTTGTATATAAGAGAACAGAGTCTGGAATGTAGAAAGCTGACTCATGGAGGGTAAGATTGAGGCCATAATTGGAACCAGAGGCCTTGTATGATTCAGTCTGCAGAGACGGCTATATTTTTTTTATTCTTGAAAAAAAACACATTATGAGAGACTATTTAAGCCAATGATTACTGGGTTTTGCTAGAAATAATGTATTTGTTAAGGTCTGAGACTTGAAATTTGTATGCATCACTCTGTCCAGTGCTTGACCATTCCTGCAGTATGGTATGTCCCACCTTGCCCTATATGCACTGGTCCAGTTCGGGTTATTGGATGGGCAGGTCGTGATCACACCGGAGCTGGGAGACTAGGCTTTACTTGAAAAGAGAGCACCATGCAGGGTGGAGTTTGGGAATAGAGGATCGGACTGTCCATGCAAGGACCAGAACTGAGACACTGTAACTACAGCCGTGTTTAAATGTGTTGGGAGCAAATCCTGTTCTCCATTATCCTGCTGTGAATCCAGTCAGATGCTTCATAACTGAGAACTGAATGTGGCCCCTTTACTCTAGCTTCTTTGTTCCATATCTGTCTGCCTCAGTGGATGTATTTTCCAAACCAGCCCCTCTTCAAGGGCTACAATCAGACTTGAGAAACAGCCCTGCACAAAGGCTGGTGTCTAAACTGCGTGCCCCCAGCAGTAGCTCCAGGAGGCAGTGTGACTCAGAGACACGATGCTGAGTCACAATCTCTTCCCTTGCTTCCTCCTTGCTCCCAGCTGGCAGTGATTTCTATGGGCCCACCCCTACAATACCTCTACCCAAGCTGGCGTGGCTGCTCTGGCCAGAGAGTAATGGAAGAAGGGGAGTCAAGACTCAGCCCTTTCCCCGCCCACCTGCTCCAGGGAGGGAGTAAGCAGGTGAATCAGGTCACTACATCTTACTGCTGGCAACTCCGATGAAAGAGTGATGGTTTATTCACTGAAAATGACACATCGTGGATTTTTGTAATCCCAGTCAATGCAACAGCGTTCTTCTTCCTTATCCAGTGGGCTAGGCCCTCATCCTGTAAATATAATGACTCCTCCACGTGGGCCATCAGAACTCTTGTTGCCTTCACTGGTAAATGCATGAGTTGCTGCTACCTGAGCTGAAGTAGTAACTCTATTAGCAGCTGTAGTAGACTTTCATGCTCTTTTGTGCACCAGTCAGTAGAGGGTGACAAAGACCCACACTCTCCAAGTGTGGGGTACTCGCTCATGCTACACAGTTCTCAAATCAGCAAAACGGACCGTTAAGCACATGCTTAGTGCTTTGTTGGATTGGCTCCATGAGTAACTGTACATATGTAAGTAATCCCATTAAATGAGACCACTCATGTGCCTAAAGTTACTCACATGTTTAAGTGTTTGCAGGATTGGGGCTAGTGTTAGAAAGCAAATGCTTCAGGAGGCCAAGTTGTGTAATGAAACGCGTTTGCAACTTTCTGCTTTCTCATTAGTCTGATCACAGATGCTATCACTGGTATAGTACTCTTGCCTGGAAACACATAGATACTCACTATAGTATCAGTACAGCAAGTGTTTTAAAATCATTTCTACTTCGGAGGAATTTGTCCGTATGAAACAGAAGCTAATACTGCAGGTTTGGAAAGCAGGACACCTTGTCGAATGTACTTTGTAAAATGCTGTAAATGCTTTCCCCCCCACCCCATGCATGAAATTAAATATTTTTTAACTTTGTGGTATTGTGAAACCAATTTTCCTATTTTATTGGGGGGGGGGAATAAGAGACGTATGTTCATTATGAGGTGAAATGTTTCATCTTATAAGTGCAGCAGCATTATATTATGCGCGCGCGCGCGCACACACACACACACTATTAATAGAGATGCATGTTCTGTCAGGTATAGTATTTTCACGATTCAGTTTGTCACTTTGTGCTGCTCAGGAATCTGGCCCTAACTGGTTGGATGAGAATTGTCCTAGTGCAGAGGAGTTTAACTGCTAGAAACCAGTGTAACCAGCTCCTACAGCAATTGACACCTTCCCTCCCTACTTCTCTCTCTCTCTCACACACACACACACACACACGCACGCACGCGCGTACGTGTTGGCCTAGGGGAGCAAGACAAAGCACACCTGCACTCAGCCAGTGCTCAGTATGTATACACAGCTGTAGCTAGCCAGCATAAGTTAAAGCAGCCCCTAGCTGACTGACCAATCTCTCCATTTCGTGTGGAGATTCCTGCACAGGAGACAACTGACTCTCTCGAGTGGCTGTGGCCCCAATCCTGAACATGGATTATGTAGGCAAATAGCACACTCATCTTAGTGACCCCATTGACTTTAATTGGACTGCTCACGTGAGTCTTTTAGCACTGAGGCCTAAATTACCCTCAGGTTGCTGCAGCCTTTAGAGTATACGGGTAAGTGCTACCACACCGAACAGAGATTATATTTCAGATGGGAGTGGGGAACTGTGTTTGGGGTTTTTTGACCAGAAAACTTTCAGTTCTGTCTCCAATGCCATGTGTGCAGTTAACTGGCCGTTCTGGTGTCTGCTTGCAGGCACAAATCTTTTGTGCCAGGAAGTATAAAGCAACCCAATCACTAATAGAATCATGATTATTCTGAAACTTGAAAAATACTTATGTTAGGGGACTGCAAGTACATGGGATACGTGCATATTGTAGCCAGTTTCATCATGCCATCCCCTTCATACACTTATCAAGCTCAGTCTTGAAGCCAATTAGGATTTTTGCCCCCACTGCTCCCCTTGGAAGGCCGTTCCAGAACATCACTGTGATGGTGATTCCCCAGGCTGTAATCTGGGCTGCTGAACAGCTGTGTCCCCTTTTACCAGGGGTGCCATTTCAGATTTTGGTAGGGTGGGGTAATTTTAACTGTGATTCCAGGGGTTACTTAGGTACCTGAAAGCTCTAGTTCAGTGGTCCCCAACCTTTCCGTGTGGCGGGCGCTGGACAACTAGCTGCCAAGGAGCGTGGCCGCTGGACAAGCAGCCGCCGAAATGCCGCCGAGAAGCAGCGTCATCAAGAGGCGTCACCGCCGAAATGCCGCTGAAAATAAGCGGCATTTCGGCGGCAACACTTCTTGATGTTGCCGCTTCTTGGTGGCATTTCGGCAGCGGCGGCTTGTCCGGAGGCCAGTAGGCGAGTGCACGTAGATGCCCCAGCGGGCACCATGGCGCCCACGGCCACTGCGTTGGGGACCACTGCTCTATTTTTTTCTGGTAGATAACTTAGCAATTAGCTGATAGGAAAGGAGCCCTGTCTCTAATTCCGATATAAAAGAGAGAAATTTAAATAAATATTAGTATTGGAGCTGAGAGGGTCTAATATGTTCTGACATCTTATGGCAAGTCACTTAAGGAACACTGGTTAGATTTAAAATGTTAATGTGTATTCTTACGTTGTTACTAACTGCAGAGAGAGAGAGACACCTTGTCAGGACACCTGGGTTCTATCTTGGCTGTGGGAGGGGAGTGGAGTCTAGTGGGTTACAATGTGGGGGGCAGATATAAGAACATTAGAATGGCCATACTGGGTAAAACCAATGGCCCATCTAGCCCAGTATCCTGTCTTCCATCAGTGGCCAGTACCAAGTGCTTCAGAGGAAATGAACAGAACAGGTAATCATCAAGTGATCCATCCCCGTTGCGCATTCCCAGCTTCTGGCAATCAGAGATTAGGGACACGAAGAACATGGTATTGCATCTCCGCCCATCCTGGCTAATAGCCATTGATGGATCGATCCTCCATGAACTTATCTAGTTCTTTTTTTAACCCTGTCATAGTTTTGGTCTTCACAACATCCCCTGGCAAAGCATTCCACAGGTTGACTGTGAAGAAATACTTTCTTTTGTTTGTTTTAAATCTGCTGCCTATTAATTTCATTGTGTGACTCCTAGTTCTTGTGTTATGTGAAGGAATAACTAACATTTCCTTATTCAATTTCCTCCCCCCCCCCATTCATGATTTTATAGACCTCTATCATATCCCTCCTTAGTCATCTCTTTTCCAAGATGAAAAATCAGTCTTTTTAATCTCTCCTCATACAGAAGCTCTTCCATACCCCTAATCATTTCTGTTGCCCTTCTCTGTACCTTTTCCAAATCCAATATATCTTTTTTGAGATGGGGTGATGAGATCTGCATGCAGCATTCAATATGTGGGCATACCATGGATTTATATAAAGGAGTATGATATTTTGTGTCTTATTATCGATCCCTTTCTTAATGATTGCCAGTACTCTGTTAGCTTTTTGGATTGCCACTGCACATTACAAAGTTATTTTCAGAGCACTATCCACAATAACTCCAAGATCTCTTTTGTGATGGTTAACAGCTAATTTAGACCCCATCATTTTGTATGTATAGTTGGGATTATATTTTGCCATGTGCATTACTTTGCATTTATCAATATTATTTTCATCTGCCTTTTTCTTGTCCAGTCACCCAGTTTTGTGAGATCTCTTTGTAACTCTTTGCAGTAAGGTTTGGACTTACCTATCTTGAGTAATTTTATATCATCTGCAATTTTGCCATCCCACTGTTTACCTCTTTTTCCAGTTCATTTATGAATAAATTGAATAGCACTGGTACCAGTACAGACCCCTGGGGGAGACCACTATTTACCTTTCTCCATTCTGAAAACTGACCATTTATTCCTACCCTTTGTTTCCTATTTTTTAACTAGAGTGTCTGGCAATGCTTTCAGGATCATCTAATGATCCTTAATTTAATTTAATGTAATGACAAGCCTTTTGTCATCTTAATCACCCTGCCTCTGTTTATAAACAAACTCTCTGCCCCAAGGGTGGAAGCTGGGAGCAGCACAGAACTCATAACATGTCACATTCAAGCTGTGTTGGAGTTAAGAGCTCATCTGAGGCTAGGGAGTGAGCTGTGAGCAGACATCTGGTACAAAACTTGGGGAGGTGAATCCTCCCATCCCCTCTAAATGGCACCCCTGCCTTTTAAACTGCTTTGCTGTGAGAGCAACCACACCTGGTTCTGCTCACACACAGCCTCCAGCATGTAAATCACTCCCAGCTGAATTAGATGGATGCTCTGGCCAGCCACTCATGAATTACATGCAGGGTGACACCAGCAGCTTCCCACTCTCAGGCCTTCTCCTGGAAATGTGCCTCTTGTACTGAACAGTGCCTTCAGTTAAGGAATGTTACAACTGAACCATCAGAGAATAACAGAGAAAATACTAATAAATAGTATTAAGAAGAAGAAGAATACCTTCTTAGCGGGCACCACCCATGGGGCAGTAGTCATAATGGTTTAGATGTGACATTGCTTGACTGGAGGCACCGTTCAATTCTTCTCCAGCAAAAAGTCCTTACCAGACTCAAGGTCCAAGATGCTTACCACCATTCTTTGTGTTTGTTTCCCTGACATGCAGGATGAGATTTCTTCTGAGCAAGTGTTTCAAGGAAATATCTATGGAGGAGTGTGGACATACATACAACCCGGTTATTTTCTGTTATTTTCTTGTGGGAAAATCCTTATAGGATTTAATAGAAAATGAAAATATTTATATTTTTATAACTATCATATAGACTTTAAATGAGAATTGAGCCCCCTTAGACGCTATTATAGGATGTTCAAACAAACAAACTCAATTAAAAAAAAACCCAAACTAAAACAAACAAAAACATAAACTGTAGAGGCAGGATCTTGTTCTCTGTTTAAATTCTACAGGTGGTTAGAGTCATTTCAAATTTCCATAGGACTCTACTCATCTCATGCTTGTTAAATTCTATCAGACATTTCCCTAATGGGACGATAGATGCTTTTCCGTGACAGCCTGCTCTAGCAAACCTGGGAGCTGTGACACTCCTGGGGGAGGATGGGTTTGACAGTAGTGGGGCTGTCTCTGATCTAGGTTGAGCTGGGAGGAAGGAATAGGTCCAAAATTGACCTGGGAGGGGATTCTATCTAACTGGGCTTAGGATATGGCTCCCCTCTAGGTAGTAGCACTAGCTACAATGTCCCATGCACAAGGCCGGCAGGACAGTGTCAGCAGTAGGTCAGGGTCCATGGGGGGGCACGGAACCGGTTGGACAGAGTAGTTGCAACTGGGAGGATGGAAGACTACAGGCCCCAGAATGCAACGCGCCACCAGTCTGTCCGCTCACGGTGGCGCGTTGCAGCCTGGGGCCTGTAGTCTCCCACGAGCCCAGCCCTTGAAGGTAGGGAATTGTCACTGGGCGCCATGTTATGCAAATCAGGGGGCGGCTCCTCAGCCGTTTGCCCTTTCCCCCAGCCGCACGGGGGCGGGGCGGGGCGGGCTGGCTCTGTCCCAGGGTGCCGCGCGGCCGCGGGAGGAGAGAGGCTGTTGGCCGGGGCGCGCGATGCAGCGGGTGACGGTGGTGCTGGGGCACCTGGCGGCCAGGCCCGTCGGGGGGCCGGCGCTGCGGGCGGCTCAGTGCGGGGGGGTAGCGGCGGGGCCCGGCCGTGACGGGGAGCCGGACGACGTGGTGGTGGTGCACGGGCTGCGGACCCCCATCGCCAAAGCCAAGCGGGGCGGCTTCAAGGTAACCCCGGCCCGGTAACCCCGGGGGGAGGCTGGGGGCCCAGCCTCTAGAGGCGCTGAGGGGAGGAGGGGCTGGGGACCTGAGGGGGGCCCTGAGGAGGGTGAGCTGGGGACCTGGGGGGGCCCTGAGGGGAGGAGCGCTGGGGACCTGGGGGGGGCCTTGAGGGGGGTGCG